AATTAGCATGTAATTAAGAAAAGACTTAGAAAAATAATGAAAAAGAAAAATTACGGAGAAATTATAGTATTGTTACACATGTACTGCACTTAGACTTGACCACAGGGCTTCACATTCAATTACTGGCTTCATATTAGGTTACAGAGGCTAAAATCTTTTTGATTTTTGCCTTCAGCCGGACTTGAACCGTTGACCTTGACTGTAGGAGCATGGGAGCTTAACCGCTAAGCTATAGAACCTATACCCTATTAAAATATTTTTAAAATATATTTATAATACTATTTTTATATATTAAATTATATTGTAATAGTATTTAAAATTATTATTAAATTAATATTTTTATAATGTATTAATAATGCAATTTTAATGCATAAACTATATTACAATAATATCATAAATAAATAAAAATAAATAAAAATAAACTATTTTTACACTATATTTATAATATTAATTTAATATCAAATATATACTTACTAATTATAATATATAACTATTGAAAATTTTAAAAAATAAACTATATTATAAAAGCAAAATATATAACAATGCAATTGCCATATAATTAGATATTTCAAAAATAGAAACTTGTTGTTACAGAATAAGATGTCCTGGTCACAATTACTAAAAATGTAACCCAAGCCATATAACTCGAGACCCAAAATGTGTATTGATCGACAAAGGTGCAGGCATTTGATTAAATGCTAATTTGGGTTTGGCTTGAGGCGATACTCTATTAAAAATAATAATATAACATCTCCACTATTCAAATAATGGGAATTAAGTCATAGTCATGCAAATAAGTATGAATTATTTATCATTAGTTTAGAATTCTCCTTCCTCTTTTTCTTCCCGATGCACTAATTAGTTATATTGCTTGTAGAATCTAAATCATATGTATTAGCAAAACCCCAATACTGTTGTAATGAATAAAAGCCAATGATTTTATATAACTAAGAAACAAGATAATAGAAACTAGTAGAGACGAGTAGAGTAGTAGTATAGAATAGAATGCTTTTCCTCCTACATACTAATTAATTTAATAAACTTAACAAAAGCCTTAGCTGCCAAATCGTTCTGCCTCTATTGTCAAGTAATGCTGTATGATATTACTCCTTTGTGGTATATGCATTGGCAGCAGATTTTGTTAATTAATCAAGTTAATTCTACTAAACTAACTTATTAGACAAAATGAAATAGTTGAGTAGAATAAAATTATTAGATAATAGTTTATTAAATAAGTTTGCTCATATGTACAGTACAGATATACTCTTTGCCTATAATAAAGTTTAAGTTTCATGCCTTGCAAATAAATTATCCTATAAGTTGTATATTGTATTTTATACAAAGTGTCCCAAAACTACTCTAAAGCGTTATATTAAAATAAACTTTTACCCATCTCGTTATTGAGAAGATTTCATCTGTTTTATACGATTTCAATATTTGTCTTCTGGTTTAGGCCCAATAGGAATTTGCTAATTTTTCCTACCAGTTTTTATTGGACGAAATTGACTTAGAAATTTTTATTTGATCAAATAACAGAAGCATCGTTGAATCATTACAAAGATCTAATAGACTGTATACTTTGCAAGGAATTTTTTATGTTAGAACATGAAAGGCGGTTTTGTAAACAAATTTCAAGTTATTGGTGATTTTGGTGATTTTTGAAAAATGACTTTTTTTTGAAATTTTATATTACACCTGATCTTATGATTTGGTTGGTATATGAAGAGCAATGTGGGGAAAATTAGGGCACCTGCCCAACAGTGATAAAGCAGTGGTTATATAATTAAAGAGTAGATTATCTTTCACAATTGTTCGGTCAGTCTAGTGATGGGATAAAATATGCATTTTACTTATCTCTAGGTCAGTCAATACCATATAAGTGCAAAATAACATGCAGGGGTGTAATTTTGAATTTTGGTCTAAATTAAGCTTAATTCGGGCCATTATTCAAAATAATGCTCTTGTGCATTATTTTGCACTTATACGGTATATCGATTTAGTTATGGTTTTAGTAGAAGAAAGTTTAGTTAAAGATAGTGTTAGAATAAGAAGAATCGAACCAACTAGAAGGATACTTATCAAAAGAATTGACCCAACTCGCCAATCTAACCACTTTTTTGTTTAAGCCTATTGTTAGTTTAAGAACGTATCGAATTGAAAGTTGCTTATGCCATTTGAATCACTGGTATTATATACTAATATTGTAGGCACTGTAATAAACCCATTATGCAAAAAAAAAGATTAGCTACTATAATATTAAAATAAAATATTAAAATATTGGTCCATAATATTAAATAAAAAGTAAGAACCAAACCCATTATATTTTTGAGATTGGACTAGGGTATCCAGAATTCTGTACAAATTTTAACAACTGATCTGGCCAGAATTACTGATTTTATTTGGTTGCTCTATACAGAAAATTTGATTTGACATAATCGTCAAATTATTTCAGGTCAACAGTAATACTACGCCTCAAATTCTGCAAATAGGGTTAAAAATTACATTTTACAAACTTACAATATATGTAATTTTGTGTAAGTTTCAGTAACATAGATTTCATGTAAATTTCACACGTAATATATAGTACCGGTATTATGCAAAACTCAGCTAGCTTTATTGAGATTCTACATAAAGTTCATTGACCAAATCGAAGTAAATATGATCCAACCAATCATATGAGCATATGATCATATTTCTTACAAATTACATGAAAACCATGTTACTGAAATTTACACAAAATTTCACAAAATTATGTAAAATTATGGTAATTTGACAACCCTATCTGCAAATTAAAAGAGTAACTCAATAGAAATATGCTATTTAACTAAGGATTCTGCAAATTTTGCAAATTTAATGAATCTAGCGAATACATTGCAGAATTTGCGAAATTTTTGAATTGCAGAATTCTGGGCACCCTAGATTGGAGCAACGCCAGCAACTCCAATAATCGAGGTAGCAGTTCTATGATCTTCCAATCCATGACTAAGAGTTTCGTATACATAAAAGTTTATTTATAATTACATATGTATATTAAATTTTAAAAGAAAACGATAGATTAGAAATTAGTAAACGATTAATAAATTATTAATGTAATACATAAACTTTTGTGCATACATAACCCTTAGTCAAGGACCGAAAGATCGTATGACTGCTACCTCGATTATTGGCGATGCTGGCATTGCTCTAGATTGGACAAATGATAGCCCAGAACAATTAATGTAATTCATGCAATTTTTTAAAATCAATGTGATTTCTATATTTGTAATAATAAATTGATGCATTAATTATATAATAAAAATATATAATGAGGTGTAGCAAACTTAAATAAAAAGAAAGAAAAGTTGATTAAAAAATTCAATTCTTTTCTCAATAATCAATAGAATAAAGAAACACATACCCGTAAGATTGCTAATAAAGGTAACAGTACTTAACAGAGTTAAAAAGAAAAGAAATTTAATTAAAACTTTATTTGATTCATATTAGGTTCGGCATGATTAAAAAACAAAAATATAACAAAAAATATACTAGTAAGAGATAAATTTTTCTTGACTATTAAAGTCTTTTATTATATTATTTATTATTTTTATTTACGTAATGATTAGCTTCTAAACCTCCTTTAAGAAATTTTGAAAGAAATAATTTATTTGAAGATGAGTCACAAGTCATGAATGTTGAAATTACAGAAAATAAAAGAAAAAGGATTTCAAGTCATACTAATGTGAAGAAAAAAAATGAAAATGAAGAACCTAGTTTGATGGACAGTGACAATGGTATAGTCTTATTGTTGCCATTTTATAATATTTAGAGGATATTAAATTTGTATAATAATTTAGATATGACTTGGTCTGTAGGTGATTCACGTTCATGTTCTTGTATATCTAAAAATATTCAACCACAAAGTGAACAAGCATCAAATGCATCATCAAATGAATCATCACCTTCAATTAGAAGCTATTTACCTGAAAATTTTTATGATCAATGCTCGCTAACATCTAGTCTCCTTTAGCCGAAAGGCATTTGCCTAAGAGCGTTTATGGTCAATGATCACCAACACCTAACATTATTCCTTCTCCTTTAACCAGAAACAATTTATTTGAAAATACTGATAATCAGTAGTCACAGGCATCAACCAAATCAAACACGATCAATGTCTCTTCATCTTCCTTAATTGGTCCATTTAAAAGCGATCTTGAAGTCTGTTTGTACTTGGTGCAACATCCAGCTCTTATCAATTTAGCACTAAGCATGATAAATGCAGATGGTCAAGAGTCTGTAATTACACGAGGAAAGGTTGATAGGTTTAACATGCTTCTAGAAAGTGTAGGCTTTGATTAAGGTTCTGCAAGTTGTAGCACTTCCAAAACCCAATTTTGATATGATTGCCACAAAACATGCAAATTCTTATAAAATTTGCATGTTTTGCGGCAATCATATACTATTTGATTAATATTGATAGCTCGGTTATTTATTTTTTATTAAATAGGATCTTGGAACACTTCAGATGCACTTGAAATGTCTTTTTTTTCGTACACGAGTGATAAACAAGCAAATTATTGACATGCTAATGAGATCCTTGTTTCCAGATGTTCAACATGCTGGGGCATCAGAATGTGCTGCATTACAGAGATGGGTTTTTGGATGTTACCGAGATTATAATGCATCATTAAGACGTGAACTTTGAAAGTTAGCCCCAGAATTTATCGGAAAGCATAAGTAAGTTTATTACAATGAATTTTTTTTTGTCAATAATATTAAAAAAAATTAACAAATTAACCAAACATTATAGACTAACCAAAGTGAAAAAGCCAACAGTACAGCAGATTTCTGAATATATTACAGAAAGAAATTGAGTGGCTTTCTTAAAATGTCATATAGATGTTACAGATGTGCAAAGAATTTTTAGAGATTGGCATGACAATATTGAAAAATTTACTAATTTCATATGATCAGCATTTAATCTCTTTGTTCAAGAAATCCTTCTAAACAAAGATGTAATTGATGCTGTCAAAAATTTAAATTATATAACGGTTGATATGGAAATATTTACGGCTGATGGGAAAGACTCTTTGTGACAATTGGATCTTAGGTCACTTCTTAAGCTGGACTAGTGCTTATCAATGGTATTTGCTGATAACATTACTAATAGTATTGTAAATCATAAATAATGCTTAATATTATGTAATTGCTCTAAGTTGAAATAGCGAATTGGTTAATATAACATTGTTAATATTGCTAAATGCTTAACATGGCATGTAATCGAAAAAAAAAGATTTATTGTAGTATTTAAAAAATATCATGCCATTATTTTACCGTTTTAGTAATCTTTAATTAAACATTTTCTTATTTGGGGTAGATCTACACAATACAGAGAATGCAGGGAATGAGTATTTATTTTATTTGTGTATATACAAGAAAGAAATGTTTATGAATAAATTAATTCGCTATTGCATATTCACAGAAGTATATATATTTGAATTTGACTCGTATGCCGATCACATGTAAATAAAAATACTATGTTGGCTAGGAATTGGATAGCGAATTTTGTAAATTTAAAGGTATTTTACCAAGTTTATAAAAAATTAGGTTTGAAATTGATTAATATTCAAACACCATCATGAAAAGTATATAAGTGGATCTTCATTAAACTTTCTGTCTTTTTCGACTTTCTCTTTCTTTTCAAATATCATCAGTCAAAAAATTGAACACAATAACCCGGATTTTAAGTACTTCTTTTCTAACTCATTAAGATACATATATATGCTCTAATAGCCAGTCAATATAATAAAATGAAAAGAGTACGAACTAACAAAGTAACGTGAAAAGTTGCATTATGAAAACATATTACATATAAAAGTTTCGAAACAATACAAAGAGAAGAATGTTCACAAAATACTGTTAGCCAAGCTTCACTAGTTTTAATAAATAGAGACGATAGTAGTGAAAGTTTACAAGAAAATTTTTCTGATAATGAAAGTTTACAAAAAAATTTTTTCGATAGCAAAAGTTTACAAGAAAATTTTTCCAATAATGAAAGCTTACAAGGAAGTTTCTTTGAGAGAAGTCAACATAATGACTTCGAATGCAATTCTTCTGTAGTTTTAGATACATCTAGTGGCAGTGATCAATTGTCGATTATAGAAGATATTGGATTACAAACAGAAGAAAACTTCAACGAAATTATAGTAGATAGCAGAATTGATTTTTAGCCACTACCTGGAGAGTATGGCCCATATTTTAAAAACTTTATAGAGATATCGATTTTTACTTGGGTTACTCAGCATATGATCAGTAAGTATCAGTATAAAGATAAGTTCGTTATTTATTTTTTTATTTTTATTTTGCTTATTTACTATTAATTAATTTATTTGTTTTATTTTGCTTATTTACTATTAATTAATTTATTTGGTTTATTCTCATTATAATTAGCAACCAATGCATACGATGACCTTGCGTCTATTATCCAACATCCCAAGTTCCAATCTAAACATGTAATTAGAAACATCCAAAGGTTGAAGTTATTATGTCGCAGACTCCCCTTACAGCAAATTAAGTGCCATCAAATTTCAATTCAAAATCTAAAGACACTATCAACATCAACACCTATCAAAGATGCTTATACAATTTCTGTAAGCAAATACATTAAGAGGGTTTTAGGTAATAAAAAGTTAAGGTCTCAAATGTATTTTGGGCCTGATGTTGAGGCAGAAACGAAAGAAGAGTTTTGGCATGGTGAAATCTGGCAACAATCATCCTCTTTGGTTTATCCTTTGTATCAATAAATAATGGTATGATTAAAAACATTTATGTGTATGCTTGTTGGCAAAATCCTAACTGTTGTATAATTAATTTGCTTATGCTCAAATCCAAAATTATTTTCAACTTATCATTATATCCAAACATTTTATGATCTTGATTAAACAAATAATATATTTTAATTTTTTTTCTTGTTTGGCATTTGGCTTGTCAGCAAGCATAATTCAAATAATAATTATTCGATTATCATAACTAATAAATACAAATAATGCTTAGAATTATATCAAATAGGATCATTTATTAAATACAGGAACAACGAAATAAGAATAGGAAGAATTATAGCGATAGTCTCAACTTCCAACAGTATCAAATTGAAAGTTCAATATCTTTATTTTGGTTCTGAACTTCCAAACAATTTTTTAAGCTCAGCAAGAGCAGAAGGATTACAAAACAGGGAATTATGGTTAAGCGAAGTGACCTATTTAATTAATCCATTTACTGTTATTGGGCCAGTTATAGTTTGGCTTCAGGATACACCCGAGCCACCGGATTATCAATTTTGTGTAAGAGAAATTTTATATAGCCATGAAGGTTGGTGGAAAATATGAAACTGTAATCTTCAGCACTACTATCCAATTGAATATACCCAAATTCCAGCATCAGCACCCAATAATGTACTAACATTAAAAATAATGTTAGACATTTATCATGATGATTTCGGCATGTTTCGCAATGTATACTATTTGTTGGGTGCAATTTACTTTCAATTTTGTAACATGTCCTTACATCTAAGAAAACAATTTAAAAACCACTTTGTTTTGGGTTTTGTTTCATTCGGCAGTAAATTTGATGATGTAATGAAGCCAATTGTAAATGAAATTAAAATGCTAGAAAAAGGTACTTTAATGAATATTGTGGGTCACGACATATGGGTAATTGCTGCTTTGGGTGTTGTAACCTCTGACCTCCCTCAGGGCAATAATCTTGCAGATACTAAACATCATAGTAGTAGTCAAGGGTGTAGGAGTTGTCTGGTGCCTAAGGAACAATTAAGTGATCTTAGTTATGATGTTAAGCTTAATGCCCGATATCATCATATTACAGATAAGAAAATAAGGAAATTAGAAGAATTAGCAAAAAGGAGGGCATCACAAAAAACTATCAATGGCTACTGTACGGAACATGGTCTAAGTGCATGTCCTAGTATTCTAAATCATCTGACATAAAACCATAATTTACAAACACCTCAAGATGTATACCATGCTGTTGGTAGGAAAGTACAAAGAATGATGGATTGTACTTTTTTAATATTAAATTCAAGGGACAATGCATCTTTTTAAATTATTAGAAAAACTTTGAAATACCCTCTAGTTGGTCTCATCTCCTCAACCCAATAAAACACCTTAATAGTTTTATGTTTTTCAATTGTTTGCGATTAGTGATGATCATGCCATTTTTATTACGAAGGTTTCTAACAACATCGCATATCAAAGATACTAATTTGCTTTTTTTACGAAGACAACTTACAACACCAACAAACAAGATGCTATCATCTACACAAATCATAAATGAAATCATTTTGTGCTGGGTGGCTGTCGCTAAAGCATCCTGTTTAAGTTTCAGCTTTACCTTTACTGAACAAACATATAAAGAATTAGAGGATGCTCTAAAAATTGAGTATATCCTTTTACTAAAGGTGAGAATTATATAGCTAGTTCTATGACAAATAATATATATCAATATTTTTATATTTTTTGTAATACATGCGAGAGTTTGTTTCTTTTTTTACATAAAAAAACAAAAAGGCATATCGATATCGATATCAGTATTATTAAGCTACTCTAAATTAGGAATTTACTCAGTAATACATGTGAGAGTTTCTTTTTTTTATTAAAAAAAGGCATATCGATATTGGTACTCGATAATATTTGGCTATTCTAAATTAGGAATTAATTTACTGGTATAATGCAACAATTATTTAATTTTTTTAAAACATTTTTAAAAAAATCAAGATGGTTTTAACAATAGGGGTGATTTTATTATGAATCAATCTAATTCTATTAGTGCAATATGAAATATAATTAACATTATTTTATTGTATTTTAGCTTTTCTCAGATAGTTTTAATAATTTACCAAATTTACATATAAATCGGCATCATGTTCAGAATGCTTGCAACTTCAGGACACTCGTAAATATTTCTGTGGGTGTAAAGAAAGCTGTGCACAAAACATTCAAAGGTTCAGTTTCTAAAATAAATTGTAAGAATATAGAATTTGATCTTATTCGTCGGCATAATACACTCCAAATGATTCGTTATCTAATCGACAAAGGCAAAGATAGCTGTTTCCTATCCATAGGGTGAGGTTTTCAAAAGTTTACAACGGATCCATTGCTTACACCCATATTATCTAATTGGTATATGATGCAGAATATTCAAGAAGAGAATATAGTTGATGTTAGTAAGTATTTTTATAATTTTTAATTACCGAAATTCAAAAATATCATTAAATATTCAAAATGTTTAGTCAACACAGTGAATATAAACCCTAAACCAGGTAATATTTTATATTTATTACATAAATTTAATTTATAAATTATTTTAGCCATAATTAATAATGATCAATATATGTATTTAATCAAATATCCAATGGTAAATGGTTTCTTAAAAAGGAAATAACTTGGTATTATTCGACATGTACCAGTACATACTACATAGTAATTTTACATTCAATAAGTGATGTTTTCATATACCTCTAATGCTAATTTAAGATATTCTAAATTTCTTTTATATATTTGTGAAAGGTTTAATTTTTGATGCTTTTAATATGTGTTCGACATTTTTCTTAGAGTTTAAACTATGATGAACTTTAAAGATTCTGTTTTGACAAATTACTAATATTCATTACAATTATTGTAATTCTTTATTGCAATAGATACAAATGTCACGTCACATGATGATAAAATAAAAAATATTAAACCACAAAAACGTTTATCGAAAAGTAAAATTCATCAACTTTCTTTATCTGTAAAACTTAATAACAATCTTCAGTTCACCTATGACGTTATAAGCGTATATGATATTTATATGCAAAAAAGGGCCACGTTGATATATAGGCATGTAGATTTTTACAAACAAATAAGTTACACTTTGTTAAATGATGATGGCACAATTGATACACATATGAATTTGCACTCTGATGACATAGTGCAAATTCAGGAAGAGAATGGCATATCATACACTATATTAAGGAGGATATTTACGTATAAATACAATGATGGTTTAGTATATTCATTTGTTTGGGTTGACTGGTTGCAGGAACGCTCAATACTTGATTCAATTCTTCATTGTTCAGTTTATGAAATACAGACAGCTGAAAACACATGATGGCACTGAGTTTACCCAATAAATCTTATAGATAATTTGCCAAAGATTTATTTTTTATACTGCTGGCATTCTACAGGTACTTTAACTTCACACAATTTCTCAAATAGTCAATACTTTAAAAATGAATTTTATTATACAGCAATTTAAATAATACAAGATGTGTTAAGAAAAGAAAATTTGGGTTTTAATATCGAGTTTAGCTATTTTATTTAAGAATTTATTTATTAATTTTATTTAAGAATCCTGATACAATACTAATTAAGCAACATATAATTAAGCAATATATTTTGTATTATATTATCAATTGGTGAGTAAGATCCAAAATCATTTTTGTAATGCATAACAATCATTGATCACAACCTTCAATGATTTCAACATTTAGAGCGATACACTTAAGTATCTACATTATCTACCTTTTAGTCAATATCTTCTATCTCGAGATTATTCTTAGTTTTGTTTATCACAATTAGATTCTTTTGATTTCACATTTTTTTTATCTTCTATACTATTTTATCATCCTGGTGCTCTTCACAGTTATTTGCAGAATCAGATGTGTTTAGCTTTCACCTTATTTAGTCGATTAATATTATGCATTCTCCAATATAAGATTGACTGCTCAATTTTTTTCTATTTAATTTGTTCACGTTAATTTAGCATGTAAGTATAAAAGAGATTTAAGCATTTAAAATAGCTATTCAAGTTTATGAATATTTATTGTTAATCTTATTTTATCCGCATTAATTTAGTTTTTGAGTATAAAGAGCATCTAAATAAGTAATCTAAGAACTTAAATAAGCTATTCAAGCCATGAATATTACTATTCAATATGAGTATAACATAAAAAACTTCAATAATTTAAATGTAAACAAGTAGTGCATATTTATTATCTAATTTCATTTCAGTGCGAATATGAAAAACACCGACTACTCAAGTTCTTAAAATAAGCAATTCATAATTGACATTCAATATCATTTTAGAATGTAAATATAAAGAATATCGATTAATCTAAATATTTAAAATAGCTGTTCAAGCTTATGAATATTTTTATTCGCATTATTTTAGCACGTGAGTATAAAGGATGCTTATTAATCTATCTCTATTTTACTATTTAATTCATTTCATCCTATCTGTGTTAATTTAGAAAATGAAATTATTGGCTATATTCAAGTTTGTAATTATTTACTATTAATTTCAGTGAGCATAGAAATTGTTTGCATTCAAATTTAAGAGTTTCATAAAAAAAAAAAAAAAAAGAAGTGAAAAAAACTAATATAAAATATATTCATTAATTATAGAGACTCTTGTTATAGAAAATGCACACACGACAGATAAACAGAAATATGACTACAAGAAGGAGTTCCAACTTATTAAAAAATTGAAGTTTTTTTTGTAAACTGGTTGGGTAATATGCAAAACGAAATAATTAAGATGATAACAACATATAGGAATTTGTAAACCTTCTAGCACGTTGCACTCAAGGCCTTGTTGGTTCTAATAAAACCTCGTGAGTTTCGAAAGAAGTAATTATAAAGCTTGACAGCTTTATGACGGATTGACTCAGGGTCAAAATTAGGTACACAATTTTGTGACGATCCTCATTTTGTTTCACATGGATTATATTCAAAATGTTAAAAAGTATTAATTCTAATATACTGTTTTAACAAATAGACTTCTGTGAATGATACAGATGTAAATAATATAAATATGAAGTTGTTCGAGTTAAAAATACGGAAGAAACGAAAGTAAGGCACATGTTTATTAGTTATTATTTAAGAATTGAGAAGTCACTTGTTTATTATCAAACGCTAATGTAAATAATTTCAATGGAATATATCAAAGTTGGCCATTGTTATTATTGTTTAAGAATTGAGGAGTTAAACACTGAAGTAACGGAAATAAGGTACTTGTTTATTGTTATTATCCAACGTTACTTATATGAATAATTCTAAAGCTAATCATTGTACCGTACCATACTGCCATTAGTACCCCCTTATTTAATACTCTATTTAAATATACCCAGATACATTACAAAAAAAATTTTGAAAAAATTGAATAAGATCCAGGTACAATGATTCAATATAATTAATTAAAAATTACTGAAGCATAATACCACATGTCACAATATCCCTCAGCTTGCATACCTACTCTTGGTTAAGTATCTATGGATATATTAATATGTATAATACCTTTTTTTTGATAAGACCCAGGTACTAATGACAGGCAGTATGGTAGGTAATAACTTGTTTATTATTAAATATTGCTGATACGAACAATTCTAATAGGACGTATTGATTTAGTTATTGTTATTGTTTAAGAATCGGCTGAAAAGATAAGTATAGATCATTTGTTAATTGTTCTTATTATGATTAAATTTTGATTTTTCATTAAAAATTGATTTTTCATTAAAAATTTAAGTATTTTTCAAATGGTTTAATCTAATATGCTGTAAGTATAATCAACATGCTTCTGCTAATTTGCTACATATCAAGATCTATCTATGCATTTTACATTGCGAAAGCACTATAGACAACATGCAGCATCAAAAATAAGCGCCTATTCTAATCATAGTCATGGGTACTAATTCACGATAGGATCATCTTACCTAAAATTTTACCTTAAGCAGAGATTCACTGATCAACCATGGTAACAAATCTGCACCGAAGATTATAGCGTCAACCAAATTTTTTTTAAATGATCAGGCCACAGGGTGTTTATTCATGATTGTCAATTTTACTTATAGAGAACACTTATTCATTATAGAGGTTTTTATAATAGAACACAGTATCATAGGCCACCGCTTACAGTACCCGAGATTTTATTCAAGAGCTTCATTTTTCTAATTGATCTCATAAATTAGCTTAGCATATTCACTACTTTATTAACATCAAGGTATGAAAACAATTCACATATCTATTATTTATTAGGATGCCTAATATCTCCCCACATTTCTAATTGGATGTATGAAAATACTATCTTTGATTAACAAAGTAGATTATACAATTTTTTTGCTACCAATTAATTTGAGATCTGGTGTAACATAAAAATGATGAAAATAATCAAAGTTTTTCAAATATCATCAGTAACCTGTAATTTCACTTATGAAACTATTCTTCATGTCTTAATAAAGAAAATTTCTTGCAAATATTATTAGTATCTGTTTACTTGTTTTGCCTTAATTTCAATACTGACTATGTTTTATTTGTTTTTTTTTTTGTCGTATCCTTTGGTTTGATATCAGATCAGAATTTGTAATCAACTTCGTCCAATGTGAGACAGAATGTTTAAGCATCCAATAGGAACCATGGGGAAAAATTAGTAAACCCTTATTCATTGAACCTGTATTGGCTTTTAAATTTTCATCAATAGTGATCTGACTGCAATACTCCTTGGTGTACGTAAAGTCGCTGAAAATACAAAGTTGACGTTGCTATTGGGATCGAATTTTCTAGTGGGATCATTTTCAGATGCAGGTGATTTATAATTGTTCGAAATTTGGTAAGTGTTTAAGGATTTTAATAATACGCTAAAGAAGAATTAAAACTTATGTTGGCAGTTTTTTTTTTTGGTATTAAAATTGAACAGTAGCAAGTAAGATTTTACATTTGGAATAAATTCTCATCTTTTTTCTCAATGAGGTTTATGGTAAATGAGTTTGTATAATCAGTTAATGAAATTTGTTGTAAGTAAAAAAATTTAACAATTTCTTACTTTTGTATTTATCAAAATACATCTGAGCTAATAATTTTTTATATTCTTTCCAACTTTCTAGCCTTAGAAAGACTAATCACATAGCTACAGTTTATCATTATTGTTAACATTGTTTATTTCCCATTGGTATCTTTAGTGGTATCTTGTTTGAAATCATCATTAACACCAATATGCCCTTTTGCTTGTACTTTAATTGGTGCCTTCATTTGTGCCTCCGTTTGTGCCTCTGTTGGTGCTTCTGTTGGTGCCTCCAGTGGTGCTTTCATTGATGTTTTCAGTATCTTTTTGTCATCATATTCGTTACCATCTTCGCCACTTTTATTATCATCATTTTTGTTGTCATATTCGTTTCCGTCTTCATCTTTATTGCTATAATCGTCTTCATTATTATATTTATCTTTGTTGTCATATTCACTTTCACCATTGTAATGTGAAGCTAAGAGGCTAAAGGATTATAATCTGCTAGTGTGAAAGCTATGAAAAAACAATTAAGGTGATTAAAATACAAAAAATAAATTGTTGAATTGTTATTATTACATTATGTTTATTATTTTTTTTTATCATTTTTTATAGTTAGATTTTTTTAAATAAGTTTTATTTTACTGTATTTTATATTAGTTTATATTTTAATATAATAATAAAATATAAAATAAATATATAAATTATATAATTATAATACAATTAAATTAAAAATAAAGTATAAATTATATATTTATTTTTATTTTTTTAACATGATTATAATATGTTTACAATAATTTTTTAATAATAAATTTGTAATTTTATAAATATAATATTTATGTTTTTATATCATTATAATAGTATTGAATTATATTTTTATAATACATTGTATAATGTCAAGTAACAATGCTAATAATAATATAGTAATTATATAATAATAATATTGTTAAATTTTTTAAAGTTTCAGCAAAGTAAAATCTGTACCTTTGTAAAAATCTCTTTGTAACTGTCATTCTGACAGGCCACTTACAAAAAACTATAATTTGACTGTTATCCTAATAGTCCAAATTCTAACCTATGTATACATACATGCCATCAATCATGATACTAACTTGATTAATTAATTTCACTTTATATTTGATTCAAGACAAAATGCTGCTTCAATACTTATATATCAGACAGCTAATTTTTTGTTGTTAGTAGTTTTTACTTATTATTTCTTGTTATAATAAATATAACTATTATTAAGTTATTCTTGTAATATTATATATTCATATGAGTTTTAATTTCCACATCAATTAGTAATCAATGAACATTGTGATAGTAGAATACAGTTAATAGCTTGTAAGGTAGAGTTGCTGACAAGTGAAAACCTAATCAAAAATTTATTTAATGTTCTAGAATTTCTCTTTTACTCTGATTAGTAAGCTTCAATAAAGGCATGAATTGACTTAGTCTAATAATAGAGTGTTTTGGATGCTATAGAGGTTATGAGACTTGTTCTAAAGCTATTTACTATATATTGAGCTTGAGTTGATTACTAATTTCAACACTTTTGTTACTATTTGGGTTACTGGTTCAAGAAACTAATACTATTTACTAGTATAGTTCTCTATTTTTTAGGTTTGTCTAAGTTTCAATTATTTCTCAAATTTTAGGGTTACATGTCACAAGATCATGATTTGTCATAATTATATATATAAGTTTATTTAACAATAGGATCAATCACAAACTTAATTAATTTAATACTTTTATATAAAAGAGGTTGATTACTAATAAGATCTTTCTCTTTTACTTTTAATATACTATCGATAACAAGTCTATTATAAATCATGAGAGCAAAAAAATACAATATCGAAAACAATAATCATGTTATAACTTAAAGGATACCCAAAAGGACTAATACTAATATTTGGTTACTTATGAACTCGAAAAAAAAGGTATCCTTTATTTCAATCATAAAGTGTGGCTTTATATACATTTCTGTTATTATAATAGTTTTACTAACACTTTTGCTCTTTCTTCTCTCTATATCCTTACTGTTACTACTGTCAGTGCTGGTATAACTGCCATAGCTATTAGATATAACAGCCATAGCAGCTTTTTACTAAATTTGGTCTAGGTTAACTCAAGCCACCTTGTTTGTTAATCTTAGCCAAATTTTCCTTTTACAACATATGTACATAACTGGCTTTAGACTATTTTCATCAATAATAAATATTATATAATCATGCTAAAGTCAATAATTTATCAAACTGGCAGAATAATAGTTCAGTAAATTTTTTATAAAATGTTCAGGAATAATGATAATAGCTAAAATTAATTACATTAGCCATGTATTATAAATTAATTATATCTTGATTACTTAGATTAATTATATGATTTTAGACCAAATTAAATAAATTCAATAAAACTTTTAATTTAAAAATAAAGTATAAATATGTCATGTTAGAATGTTATTTATTTTATTCAATAATAATTTTGAATTATACCACTCAGTAATCAGAAACATAAAGTAATTATAGATGCTTAAAAATCAGCTTGTTATATAGAAAAATTGCAGAGCTTGTTAGTTGTAGTCACAAGACTATAGGAAATATGCTAAAATGATACAACTCATCTAAAATGCTATCAGATCATTAAGGAAGGCCACCAATTCTAGGTGAATCTTCATACAATCACCTAGTACATCTTGTTTTAAACAATCACTATATGACTAAAAGAGAAATTCAAACTGCATAGAAACAGCAAGAAGGCCAAGTAATAATTTTTTATTTTTTATTTTTTTTTTATTACAGTATTTTATTATTATTTTAATTTTTTAAGATTTTTTTTATTAATTTTAATTTTTTTTAAGTTCTTTTTTAATCATTTTATTTTTTTTAAGTTTTTTTTTTAAATTATTTTTTATTTTTTTAAATTGTTTTTTTAAATTATTTTTTTTAAATTATTTTTTAAATTATTTTTTATTATAGGTGGTTTCTTAAAGAACTATTAGTTGCATTCTTTATAGGGCTAATCTGTTTGCACATATTGCTTGCACAAAGCCTTTTATTGATGAGTGAATTAAAAATAAACATTATAAATAGGCTAAGACTTATTTTAATTGAACAACTAAGAACTAAAAAACAGTTTTCTAATTGGATAAAAAGATTTTTAGTCTAATTCCCTCTAATTCACATGAATATGTATAGAGAAGACTGAATGAAGAATTCAAGAATGATTATTTTGTTCTGGCTATTAAATTAAAAAGAATTATAATGTGATCATGCTTTTTATGAAGTAATTGTAGCCTCCTTGTTTGGCTCTATAGCAGCATTACAGGTGTGTTCTATTATAAAATACTTAGTAATCATGCAGTTTCAACATTACAGGTATTGATATATTGATCATATCATATTTGTGAATTTTTACATAATTTTTAAAATTAAGTAACTAGTTAGATGAAATTAGACTAATAAACTTTATATAATAATATAAAATTACATATATATATATATATATACATATGAAATTAAATATGTTTATTATAATGCTGGCATTGTTTCTTTTTTTCTGATAATCAGTTAAACACAGCTTTTATTAATATATTATTTTTTATTTTGAGGATGCTTTGTAGGACATACAGATTATTTGACTATTAGTATTATTATTATTTAGAATCATTATTGTTAAATTATCTATCATTCATTATCCTTAGAGACAAGTAAAAAAACTCAATTAACTAAATCTGCTGATATGTCAATTAGTTTACTAATTGATTAGTTGAAATAAAACTTGATAAAATATATATAAAGTAGTAACTAAAACAGTCAGGTTGATTAGTTGGCCAATCGATTAGTCAATTAATCAACTAAGTTGAGTTTGTAAAATTCAAATTGATTAATTTTTAACTTTACAACTAATCAATTTGATTTTTGATTTGTATCAAGAATCGATTTCTGAATGATAATAGTGTATTTTAGCATAATAATGTTTAGGTACATACTTGTAAGGTTGTTAAGAGGTATTTAATTAATAAAGATGTTGAAGTATTAAAATAGCCTCTATATAGCCCAAATTTGAATTCTATAGAAAATTTGTAATCAAAAGTTGAAATAAGACTTTGAAAACATCATCCTAGGCCTGACAATATTAATGAGCTTGAAAATATGATTAAAAAAAAATAGAAAGGATTATCTTAAGCATTTTGAGACATCTTGTTGAAAGCATAATGAATTAAGTCCAAGAGGTATATGCTAATAAAGGTGATCTTGTAATAATTAATTTATAATAATTAAATATAATTAAGTACAATATATATATAGCCAAATAGGTTAAATCATTTTATAATATGTGTTACTTTGGTCATCAAATGAATTTTTAATACTATTATCTTTATTAAACTTTTGAGAACAAGACTTAAAAATAATATATATACATTATTAAATATGTTAACAAAATTATTAGATAAAGTTATCACACACTCTCTCCTGCAGATCTTTCAACCAAAATCGTCAAGAAGCAAAATAAGAAATAACACAGAAACACACTAAAAAACAACACCTTGACCTATAACAAAAA